CCGTCGATGAGGAAGCCATTAGCGTGAAGCTTGCCGGGTCGGCGAGAGAAAAAAAGCAGGAAGATGAGTAGGGGAAAAGAAGCTTCGCGACTCTTCTCTTTGCTTCCTGTAATCAGAAGCGCGATCAAATTCCTAGGGTTTTAGCTTGAAAGCGCTTGGGATTTTGGGGTTCTTCGTCTCGGCTCGGCGAATCTGGAACAGTGAGGAAGAAAGGAGACTGCGTGAGACGGTGAGAGGAGCGGCACTATACTGAAAGGTGTAGTCGAAGACTTTCGAGTTCGACGGACGGACGGACGCGACACGACAAATGGTCAACTAGAGCTTTGCCTTGCTTGGGCCGTCGACGAGCTGGACAGTGGACACTGGTTTAGGCTTACTTTAAAGTCATTCTAATTTCCATTGGGCTTGTTATTAGGATCCATAAGATAAGACTGCAATGTGAATCAGTCCACAAGCAGGCCCAAAACTTCACACAAATTTATAGAGAAAACCGGAAAAAGTGAAAAGGGGCGTTCCGAGAATCGAACTCGGGACCTCTCGCACCCAAAGCGAGAATCATACCACTAGACCAAACGCCCAGTTGATGTTATGTTTTGGTAACTTTGTAAATGAACAAACTAAAAAGTATGCAGCAGACCATCTCACATTTTATGCACATAGAAATCCCCAATAGAACATCATACCACATTTAGTTGATTGTACATGCTTGTAAATTATATGTAGGTGTGAGGGAGCAACAATTCGGTCAACAACATCAAATAAAAATAGATGTTTTGGGCCGAATCAAATTCGAAGTATAGTACGACTAGACATTGACTCATATAAAATATGTTTTCATAATGTTCTGATGGGATTTTTTGTTCATTTAATTTTAATGCAATTTTATATCAATTTAGTCCCAATATTAATCCACCCATGTTGCTCCTAAGAAAAGGGTAACCCTAGGTCATATATATAAAGGTGGTCTACAAATTATAAATCACCTCAATGTGATGACTGATGAGAATTCGTCAAGCTATATGATTAGAATAGGTTTAATAGCCTAAGTAGTCGAACAAACCCCACGTTACATTAGGAGATCGAGACTGATTTATATGTAGCTATACATATAGGTTACTACTTATATAAGGAGAGGGTCACAAATCAAAGGACATTATTAGCAAGAGGTGCATGCATGTAAGCATTATCTCAAATTGTCCTCTCCTTTTCCCCTTAAAACAAGCTAAGCCACATTTTATTGCGTTTTAGGAACGATCCTCCAAGACTGAAAAGCCATTTGAACCAACCCAATTATGTAAAACAATGGCCTTATAGAAGTATTGGAGCTTATAGAGCTAATTACCTATCTAGTGCCTAGTGGTATTACTTGTATCATTAAATTCAAACTTGTAACCTCCAGATTTGTGTTGATTGAGTGTTAGTACATTTTGTATTATGAATATGAAGGGCGCAACAAGGGAACGGACTCTTTTCCGTTGTTATATACTTTGTTAATTACGCAGTGGTGAAACCATAAGATTGGATAAGAGGTGTTTTTAATGTAGCACAATAAGTGAACATTGGTGAATTGGTCGCCTATTCAACACTGAAGTTTGTTCTTAATGTAGTTGAAAACTTAAAAATGTTCTTCTTACACTTGCAATTGCAACTGGTAAAATTGTTACTAATTTCGGGGACAACTGATAGATCGACGATAGATTCATTGTTGTCTCTATGAAATAAGCTATACATCTTGTAGAGGATTAAAAATTTTATATTAGCTTGTGGGTCTAGAGTCAAAATCTCATATACACCTAAACGAGAATCCATAATTTTTGCACCTAATTAAACAGGAATAATTAATTTATTATCATCGATATGTTGTTTCCCTTTCAAATAATAAAAGGCAGTGGTGCCTTACTTCAAAGTTCAACCACCAGAACAGAAGCTTCATCACCAAGAAACTTTAATTAATGATTGTTATTAAAGGACAGAGAATAAAGTGTGTGTTGTAGAGGATAGAGTTGGGTGGTTGCTGCCTTCCTATGGCTTATCAATTATATGAGCATGATTGAAACTTGCCTCCTAAACCAACTAAACAAAACACTCCTCAAACCAAAGAGATCAAACACATCAATCAAGCTGGTAAGCTACATCCAATTATGAGACTAATGGTATATTTTTTTGGTCTGACTCATCAACCGCTTTGAAATAATTATGATATTTGCAGGTTTTCTATTGATGATTAAAAAGTAGGCATGCATAGTCTTAGGGGTCGTTTGGAAGTTGAAATTTCAGATAATTTATTTAGGTAATAATGTAATTAGGAGAATCCATCTTTTTGTCTCAAAGTAATTCACAAAGAAGATGAGATCGCTAAAATTATTCATTATTGATAATTGTCAATTTTAGCTAAGAGTTGAGATTGTTTCTTCCTCATTTTTTGAGACACCACCAAAATCATTCAACCTTCAAACAATGTATTTTTCAAGTTCATACAGCAAAATATTACATCTAGTTAGAGTACATAAATTGATTACATGTATCAAAAAGAGTCTTTTATTACATGATCTATCACTAGAGGTGGCAATTCTCAATCCAATCCACTAACCCATTAAAAATATCCACCTAATCCAATCCATTTAAATCCAATCCATTTGATCCAAATCCAATTGGATTGGTGGATTAATGGAGTGATCCATGGATCCAAATGGCAAATTACAGTTTGATACCTATACTTTTTATATTTTACATTTTGGTACCCAAAATTTAATTTTTTATACGAAATATATCATTGAAAAATTACATTTTGGTACCTAAATATTTTCATTATGACATTTTAGTACCTAAACTTTTCACATTTTACATATTAATCCTTGGTTGATGATGTCATTTGGATTCATGGATAATCCACCAATCCATGGATCAATCCATTTGCCACCTCTATCTATCACTCTCTTCATCTTATTTCCACCTTCCCTTTTGAGTTTTGTACTCTTTGCACATTTACTGCTGTGCTATATCTCTCACTCTCAGTTTTTACTATTCTGTTGTGAAAACAGGAAAGGTTGAGTTCATTTCATAGATTGCCACCCAAACTCTAGGATCACTGATAAATCAATTACTAGCACTTGGTAGAAAAGATCATAATACACTCTATCAGGTGACATAGTAGATCTACTTCACTCCATGTCATCTTCAAACCGAATCGAGCACTCACGAGCGGAGTCTCGAATTTCATATCTCCCTACTAAAGCTAGATCCTAGTCCTTCTTCTCCTTCATCGTTGTAGGTCCTTTTGACATACCTTCTCTCGATGCAACGAAGAGTGATAGATTCTTTCCTAAACTTGTCATTCCCAAGCCCCAACACCTATAGGAATAAATAACATTACCCAAAATCGTCGTGTCTAAATGAGCTTTTTTTCGTGTATCATGCACTTACATACTTATCTGAAAATTTTCAACACATATTTAAAAGACAGACATGGCAAACCATGATATTGTTGGCCACTCCGACCTTCGATGTCAAATTCGTCAAAACACTCAAATTTGTTGGTTCCTCCCGCTTCCGATGACAAATTTTGCTAAACATCGATGTTTAACAGCTACTCGGACCTTCAATATCGAACTCGTTAATTATCGAAATTTCTGTAACCACTTTCCCAGTAATTGACCATTCATATGTTTCCTGTTTTCCTATTTGATCTGCTGTGGAGGGTACTATCCACTATGCAATGTGTTTACTCGTGAAAGATCTCTGAGGTGGCATAAAACATAAATAAAGGGCACATGGAGTGCATGTGTGGTTTTTCAGTCTGTTTTTTTTTTTTTGGAACCTAATGCCAAGAATTGAATGCACACAGCACAGCATGTGAAGAAGTGAAAGATTTCTTCATTTCTCTTGAAGGCCCCTAAATCGTCGCCGGTGGGAGCCTGGAGGGCAGCAGTGGTCCTAAAATTTTCTGTATGTAGGACACTTTGTACTTATGCGTATATATTTATATATATTTTTAAAAATTATAAATATGTATTTCGATTTATTTTCCCCCAATCATGAGAGCTCATTTTACAGTGATGAATGAAACAAACAGACCGAGGAGCGGGCACCCGTGTGCCCTTCACAAACTGGGGGCTTTGAAAATGATATCTTTCTGGACGAAAACAAGGGGGTGGGAGGTATCCATCCCCATTCTTTACCCTGTCTGCAAACGTTCCTTTCATTTTCTTTTGCTTTGCTTTATCAAAGAGTAAAAAAGAGCTAGTCGGTGAGGAGCGGCTTGCTCGAGTCCAAACCAAATTGACTCGAACTGGCATATGAACCAACCAAGATAGAAGTTTGTCGGATCGAAAACTAAGAAAAGTTCGATTTGATCGCGGTCTGTAGGTTGGGATAGGTTTTTGTTACCCTGGTTTCAACATGCACGATCTCTCGTTTGAGGCAGGTCATTCTGATGGAAGTATTCACCATCGACAACAAGTACTAATCCCTCGTCGTAAATGATAGCACGAAATAATAAAAATACAACCAATTACGAGGCGAACTACATTCTCGGTTACTAGTTCCTACAGAGTTATTGGGAGAAAATGAAAACAAACTAACAAACAGTAACACACACACAGAATCGCATCACAAAAACCAAATATGTTCAAGAAATTTTCCTATACACAACAACAATTCACACTATACAAACAAGAGTCCACTTCCATCAGCTAGCTTGTCCACCCAAAAAAATCAAGAAACTCCACAAAGGGACAGTAAAAAAAAAGATCACTGGAGTAAAGTGGGAATGATGCTCCAGTAACATTTTTACTGCTCCTGTTAAGTGTGTCAGGAAATTGTAACATGTCAAGTTGTTGTTCTAAGACGACAGAAGAGGTGAAAGTTAAAAAAAGAGAACGGCAAGGCGTATGTAACAGGATGATGTTGATGATTGAGGAGATAATATTGGGGGAATTTTAATCAAGAGATTAAGAAAAGAGATTTGAAATTTTTTGGGCATACAGCGAGAGGGAGAGAGATCAGCCGGAGCTGCCGGCGGAGGCTTGGTTGGAGCCGGATAAGAGGTCGGCAAGGGCAGTCATGGCTCGGACCTGCATCTCCAAGGCAGCAATATAATCGGTAGCTTCCTCAAGAATCACCGGCAGCGGTTCCTTCTTGCAGCCGGGAACCAGCCGGCCGAGGAGCCGGACTTTCCTCTGCACCGCAGGCAGGCTCTTACCTCTCAACCTCAGCACGCTCACTCTCGGCTTCCTCGCGCGGCTGATTCCGCCTCCGCCGCCGCCGGCGGCGGAGACGATTCTCTGTTGCTGCTTAATCTGATGCCGCCTCTGTTGCTTGCGGAACTTGAGCTTGATCCGGCTGGTCAAGATGGCTCGGCTCCACCTCGACCTCCCCCTGGCGGACACCGCGAGAGCCCGGTCGGCGGCTTCGCGAACGGCTCGGCCGCGGCACGGAGCCGAAGGCGAGGACGGATTGAGCTGGACCTGGCTCAAGGCCTGGATTAGCTTGGAAGAGTAGATTTGTTGCTGAGACTCGGTTCTCCATCTGGCGTGGCTTGAAGAACCTTCCGCCTGTTTGAATTGCTGCGCCGCCGCGGCGGCAGCAGCAGATTTCTTCTTCTTTCTCCTCTTGGACCGATCCGAGTTCGTTACTGGACTCGACGAGATAATCGTTGACGCCATCGCCTCCACAAAGAATTATCTCGAATCAGAAATTCGATCGCCGGCTCCCTCGGATTCCTCCTATTCCCCTTCCGATTCTTGCTTCGTACGGCTGATTGAATCCAACACAACAAACACCAAAAGAGAGATTCAGATACGAGAGCAGGAGTTCTCAGTTCAGATTCAGAGGAGAGACAGGAAAGGAAAAGAGGGGAAAACAAAATTCTCTCGGCATCGAAACAGAGTGATCAAAGGGGGGAAACAGGATTCAAAGATGCTAGCGATTCAGGGATAAAAGCGATAGAAGAGAGAGATGAGAGAATATTACCTTTGCGATATGGAATTGTTGATTCGTTTACGGACGAACGATGGGAGGAGAGAGCTTAAGAGCTATGGAATGTTGGTGTTCACTGTTCAGAGAGAGAGAGAGAACGGGACGAAGTTGGTAAAAGGGAGGTGAGTGGGAGAGGAAGGGAGGTGGAGAGAGAGAGTGGGGGAGACGGGTTATAAAGGGAGCACGCGTCATTTCCTGCAATCTTGTTTAGTGCCATGGTGTTTTCGTCTTTTGGTAGGCGAAGTGGCTCAGTGGCGTGAGCCCTGGTTCCTTTTTTTGCGAGCCATTGAGTGGTCAACCCCACTCCGGGCCATCAATTCGTTGTAGAATTACTCGGATAGTTGGATGTAGGGTGGGCAACGATCCGATTCGCATCAGACCAATTTGATTCGTTTATGTCAAGATTTAATATGGTTCTGGTTTTGATCAACCGATACTCTTTTCTAATTGAATTCATGGATTTACTCTTAACTGGTTTTGGTTAAATTATGTTGGTCTAGTGTTGTTGATGTTCTCATCATGGTATTATTGCTAGATTAATCACTTTGAACCGACTTGCTAAATAATGAGTAGCCTGTCGATTCATAATCGAATTCGATTGGAGGTAATCTATAGACCAAATTGTTGCACAACGTACAAAACTACAAAAGGATGGAGCTATCATTTGTGCAAGCTCTCAACCCTAGCTAGGCACTTGTAAAAGCACACATTGGAGTCAGAAGCTAACACACGATTTTTATCATTCTCCTGTTTGGAGTAGGAGCTCCCCTTTTCTCTCTTTCCTACCTGTAAAGTGTAAACCTTTTTGGTGACGTACATTGTGGATGAATATCGGCAGTTAAAAAAAAAGGAGGATGTGAAATCCTTTTAACAATAATGCAGAACCATGTCGACACGGTCTCAAGAGCGATTGTAGTTTTAAGTTTTCACCACAAATCTGACAATCTGCATTAATTTTCCTTACCCGATCCGGTAGTGGAGAAATCAGTCCTAAATAGAAGTCAAAAAGAGAGAAATGAAACCCAGAACAGCATTCACAACAAAACCGATCCTCTAATCTTACCAGTCTAAGGCTCTAAGCTAAATTGCCAAACAAACGGGAGGAAGTAATTAATTTTCGTGGGATACTATATTTTTGTGAAACTATTTATATATACGAACATACAGAGGGGGGATTGAATGGAAGCCGGCCCACCCTGAGTCTTTATGTTGCCTGCAGTTATGCATACAGGTTAGGTTTATGCCAAATTCAACCACAACAATGACCAAAGCGAGGCCAGCTACAGTGAGTTGGCATGGCATCAATGTCTTGATACAAGGTTGTTTAACGATGCTAACTCCAAAGTATAAGATTATAGGAACTTTGTACAGTGCAATTGGCGTAACTAGAGGCAAAGGTAGTTTACTTACTCGTATCCACTCAAATCACGTGATATTAAGGGCGACATGATCTCGCGCGGTCCAAATCAAACTTTATATAAAATCAAATCAAAAGATACGAGGTTGATGGTTACATTGTGGTTACGGTACTACATTTTTTGTATTTTGATTTATCGAGGAATTCATTAAACTAAATGTACCAAATATATAGTTAGAGGACACTTGGATGAGCTGTGACGAATTACGAATTCGGTATCCGAAAAAGGGGAGAAATCAAAGAAAGAAATAACGGAATGCAAACGCCATGAACATGGGAGGTTGTTGTTTGTTTAGAGAGGTTGACTCTGCTGGACAAAACCAACAACCCCAAACATCATATTCATTCCACTCTGTTTTTTTCTTTTCTTCCTTTTTCCTCATTTGGGATTCAGGATTCGATTCAACGGATTTAAATTCAATCCAGAGAAGCAGGGGACCCTAAACGCAGCGACGAACCGTGCACTAGACCAAAAAGAAAGCGGGGAAAAAATAAGGAAAAGGATGGGGTTGCTTACGTGGCAGGCAGGGGTTGGAGGGAATATTAATGGTGGAGTTGGCTTCCACTGAGAGTAGAGAGCGGGGCCGGCCAGATGAAGAACATCTGGTTTGGTTTTGCATGTTTTTTGGCCGAGTCCGGGCAATGATTAATCGCCGGAGGGGATGATCTTTTAGAACGAAGAACAATGAAAGCAACGATAAAAAACAAGAGGTGTGGGAGCCTGGGGAGGGATTGCATGTGCAATGTGGGTTCTCCTTCTGTTTTTTATTTTTCTTTCTTTTGTGTGTTGGAGAAGAGCTGAAGTGGGTTTTGTAAATTTGACACATGCATATGAGTCCTGCCTACGACACTTTCTTCTAATGTTTTCTATTCTTTTTGGCTTATACAAATATTTTTCAAGATGACCATTAGGTTCGAAATCAAGCTGTGGCTTATATATCAACATGTGCAGAGCGGACCTAGGGGACACCCTTAAATTGTGGAAGATCGATTATTCAATATCGATGTTAATTTACGTATATAGACAAAAAAAAATGTAATTAATAGTCCGTGACACTCTGAAATTTGAAAGAACGATTATCTTATTCTCGTTTGTAGTTTGTGTATGGGAATATTAGTGGTAGCTTGGGTAATTCAAACTCGGGACACTACAATTACTAATAAATATAATTTCCATTAGGCTACAACTTTTGTGTTGTTCTATTCTAAACACTGTGTAATAGCAAAACCCTATTCTCTATCTTTAATTATTTTCAAAACCTAACAATTAATCTAATTACAAGCTACCCTTAATTTGTATTGATTTTATGGTTGTACGACAGTGTTGAAAGTATTTTTTCAGCTTTGAGTTACATCAAGAACAAATTTAGAAGTCAAATATGCGTCAGTTCGTGAATGATTGTGTAAACACCAAGTGTATTTTATAATTTTTTAGAATATGAAAATACATCATTAACTTTTTTTAACTTGTACGAGTTGAGTATTTTCTTATTTAAGAATTATATAATTTTTATTTTACTTTATTTTTTGAAAAAGGACACCTCTATGTAAAATTTCTGGTTCGTCTCTGAACATGTGTGCTTTCAGGCTTTGAAAAACGCCACCTACCTCACTGAAACTGTCTAGATCTAGCCTGATTAAACCAATGGTAAATGGGGGAAAAAACAGTAAAAATCATGTGGATGGCTATCTCCTTTAAACAAGTGGCTTGTTAAAGGCCACTTTTGACTGAATCAAATGATGATAAGCAAGTTAAAACATGAATTTCCAAGCTGATTCCCACTTTCAACAGACAAGAGGACTCGCTTTACACTGTAATTTTTCAAGCTGTTATGCCCATACAAAGAGATTCTCTTCCCGAGTTAATTGAAACTAAAGTACGGGTTAATTTATCCCAACACCCAAAAGAGATTTTGTTTAAGCTTTAATCTAAAACACAAACAAGGGTGGATAATCATGAACCTTAATCCTCCTTCTCCCCAACAAAAATCATGCTAACCATGTGTGTTCCAATTGATTAATGTGTTTTCCTATGGGAAAATCTAATGCACTACACAGCATCATGTGGACGAGACACAATGAAAGCAACGAGCACTACAATGTGGGAGAGGAACAGAGGAAGAGGATCGATTAAACAAACTCCCCGGAAAATGATGCAATTATTTGCATAGGGGGGGAGATGGTGAAGAATGAATGGTTGAGAGGATTTCAAAAATACTAAATATTATCAATGGAGAATCTCTGTACTGGCAGGGTTAGGTTGGCTGATAGTGTAAGAGAGTTTCAACCCTCTACTTAGAACTTCTAAAGACAGTTTCAAACAAACAATTCAAAAGCTCGATCCATCGTCGAGGTGGTTCGTGTAACAAGACTTTCGACATGAATCTTGGGTTACTTACATTTGGGTCGGAAGCAATCTTTGCTTTCTGTGGGTCAAAGTTTAAGCATAGTTCGATTTTGTTTTCATGTTTGATGACAAGAAGCAATGTAATTAACTATGAAAGTCAAATGGAGGATAACAGTGTTCAAAGTTCCGACCAACCTGTTTGTTGAGACCTGAATAATGGATAGAAGGGGGAGTGGAAGACTTACGGCTGCTGCAAAATTCTACATCATCTCTGTGACGCCATTGCTGACTCGCAATTGGTTTGCTTCTTCAACTGAAAAAAAAAAAAAAACATGACGAGCTTTAAGTGATATTTTGAGTCACAATCACATATGACCATATCTAGTAAATAGTGAGGCCGAGGACTTTTGAAATTAAGCGGTAAGTTTGGGTTTGACAAAATGTTTGTAGTCCACAAAACAACGCTACAATTACAAGGAAAAAGAGCACACAGTTGATTTAGAAGGTGCTTGACAGCAAGCATGCTGGAGAGAAGGCACTAGCAGGTTACAGTAAAGTTACGATGGCAGAATTCTTTTCAACCCTAACCGTCATGAAACTAAATTTAATGATACCATAAGGCATGTTAGTCACTGGAATAATGAACTCGATATGGAGTGTTCTATACAAGACTATGAGTCAATTGTACTATGGCTTGCATGCTAACCTTTCAAATATAATGGAAAGACAATCATCTAATCTCCTACTGAAATCTCCAGTGGATGAAGGGTAAAATGCCTTGAAGACAAGTCATTGAAGGTTATACGTTCTGAAATGAGTTCTTTTGCAGTTCTCATGCAGGCCGTAAAATATAAAAAATAAAACCCTTATTCCCACGGGAAAAGTCATACAAAAAGAGTGCGAGTCGAATTAGTGGAATTAGAAGAGAGCAGATATGCCTCCACCAAGAGACGACAGAGCTTTACAACTAAAACTTTTGTTGGGATTCTGCTAACTGAATCACTGAAGGGGAAAACCCAAAATGCAGCTCACACTCCATCTTTCGCCAAATGGACCAGAAAGTTTCATAATCAGAAAAGCTTCGTTGAACAGACTTGGACCAGTTTTTTTGGTGGATTACAACAATTCTTTGGTGTTTTGTGCTACTGGACCAGAAAGTTTCATAATCAGAAAAGAAACCAGGCCTCTTCAAAAGGCTTTTTATCACAAAAAGGGAAAACAAGGAAACATTTTTCAAAGCGGTCCAACATGCATATGGACAGTATGCACACACATACAAGAATTTGGTGGAGGCAAACACTGACTTCGGCGGTCATTCTAGTTTCTACATGTCTCGAATTCAAGAATGATAAGTACACAGAATAAAAACTCACCACCCAGGACAAGAAAGGATTGTGC